GAAAAAAAGTTTCGGAAATCTTTTGAGATACGGGTTTACATAAATTTTATAAAGTGGTTATAGAGGTCAGTCGCATTGGTAAGCAACATTAATCTTATCTACACAACTATATATCTTCTTTAACACTAAACGCATTTCCAATTTCGTTTGCATTAAATAAATTAATTTCATTCTAAATTTCTTTTATAATAACGGCAGATTACAAAATTATATTGAGCTTTACCCGAATCTTTAATATCCGTCATCTATATTTTAAAATAGAACGTGCGAATATCTATTGCAACTTATATGGGATTTAAACAGAGATATTCACACGCTGGTCTACTCTTTGCCTGGTGGACATGGCCTTTGACCGATTTGGCCCGTTTTCAGCACCAAACAGCAGGTAGCAGTTTTGAGTGTTTCTGCCAAATTTGAAGCAGTGTAGGACAGATAACATTTAAATAATACTCGAAAATTAGAAATCGTTTTTCAGTTTTTAAGTAATTTAAAAATGGACGAAAGGGGAACATCCAACGTTCCAATACAAAAGCACCAAAGCGATAATTGAATCATGGAATTCCCTTTTTTTGCAGCGCTGGGCACGAGCGCAGAAATTTCATTTTAAAAAAAATGTCAACCAACCAAGAGCGAAGTAAGTAAATTTTTCTTTTTTTTAAAAAAAATACTTATATATTTTCTTTTCAGATTTACGAACGACTTTGCGGCGGGGTGCCCGCCAGGCCGAACATGATTTGCGGCGCCAGGCCGCACCAAACGCCGCACCGCAAAAAAAAAAAAAGAAGCAGGCGGCGTAGGAAGAAACGTGGGGGAGCCCCGTTTCGACTACAACGTGACTTACGCCACACAATTGAGCGGCTGAGGCGCCGCAGGAAAAATAATCATTCCCAAAACCTCCAAAACCCCAAACGGCGCAAAACCCGAAGGGACAATGGAAAAAAAATAAATATTCAGATTAATATGTAATATAATTATTTCATTAAAGATAATTTGAATATCTGAAAAAAAGAGTTTTTTTTCATTTTTTCAGTTGGTAACAATTTTATGCACAGCTGGTTGCCAAACTTTGCTAATCGTATTGGTATAGGTTTTTTGGTATAGTTTTTTTTTGGTATAAGTTATATATGGAAAGAATTATCATTTATTTTTGAAAATAGGGTAAAATCGAATGCCACGTCTATAAAAATTGTATAAAACTATTGAGGAGACGTACAAGGGGAGATGAATGCATATTTTTGATACATTTATATAAAAAAGATTATATATTATATTTCAAGCACTTGTATAAGTTATATATGTATACAGCCACTTTCACAGATGGTAGTAGTAAGGAAATTTTACTTCTTTGAAAATCGGTAGCGCTCTTCGCTTATAATAATTTTCAAAAAACAAATCAATCAATTTTGCACTTAGAAGTATTATGAAAACGTTCAATAAAGATATATTTTTGTAAATGATCAATCCCTATCCGGCCTTTATTCTCCATAGACATAACATAATATTCCGGAATATAAATCATCAAATTTTTCCTGTTTTTTTGTGATCCCTCATACGCTGGGTTCGCTAAATGTTGAAATTCAGTTATACTGAGATTTCTGAAGTTAGTCGAGATTTTAAGCCCAAATGCGTACATCGTTTCCTGCGGATATATTAATTAGTTACTTTCGCTAGTATTCGTTTATATACTTACAAAGAACTTTAAGGTATCTTCCGTTAATCACATTCATTGCAGTCATTATAGAACGCAGATAATAAAACTTCCTTTATAAGTAAAACTTTAAACGCGTCCAGTATATATCCAAGTGTGAAACTTCTGCCAGCTAAGGATATTATCAATTTCTCCTCTTCGATAACTGCATCTCATTCTAGCTTATTCTCGAAAGTAGCACAATATATGTAAACAAATTTATTCAAACATAATAATCTGTTGCTGGAGTTATGTCACTAATTCGAGCCCTCTTCTGATCAAAGCTCGATATAAAAATAATGATAGGTTCGCAACGATGATTACGTTCCAAGTTTTACGTTTGAAGTCTTACGCCTTGACATTTCATACCATGCGTCATCACAGCACCTCAAAGCGTTACCCATGCGGAAAAACGTGAAACCACAGAACGGAGAAAGTCTTGCGTTTAGAGCAACACTTTGTAGATCGTTTAGATGGATAGATTTTTGTGATTATTGAGTCCCTTTAAAGTTTTTCTTCCAGGAATGGCAAACAAGTAGATCATAATTTTCTGTTCGTTAGAATACATAAGATTTTTGCCCTAAGTAACTAGATGTTGTCTAGATCAGATAATTATTTTCCTCTAGATCAGCGGTGGCGAACTTTTCCATCAACGGGAAAGAAACAAAGAAAAGTCAAATTTATGCACAATTATTGAGATAATTATATACAAAAAGTATGATAACATATTTTTCTCTAAGAAAAAGGTGGAAAAAGGAAAATAATTAATACATAATTGTAAAGAGTGAGTTATTAAGCGCTGCTTACTCGAAAACCGAACTGTCATGTTGATCACCCATATTAAAATTTCCGCTATTCTTCTTAACGATTCTACCAGCAAACCCCTACAAATCTATCTATCAGAAGCGTATGCAAAGGAAACATAAATTGCAGAACAACATAAGTGAAGACGGCCCGAATGATATCAATAAAAAATTTGGTAATTCAAAAAGATATCGCTTTAGAAAAAAGCGCGGGTCGATACGAAGATGAAATAATGTCTTTAATGGATTCCCGGCCTTATGCGCAAACGACAATTGGCGATTTTGACAATTTGACAGCATCGCAAAAATTTACATCATGTCATGAATTGTTGTCACATTCTGCTTGAAGTGAATTTCATATCACTGATGAAGAGTTAATCGAATATTGCAATGAAGTGGAAGTTATGATGAAAGAAGTAAACAACAACATAGACGCACCAGGAGGAACTCGTGGTGACAACAAAAAGAAGACAATAGTAGATATAATATTTGAGGACTTTTCCAAAACGCATCGCCTGAGAGAAATTCGGAGCGGTCCCCTTTATTTATATTACGGGAGAAACCGAAAAGAAATTATAGCCGTGAATTTAGAGAGAAGGCAAAATCAAATTTGGAGGAAAAATTCAAGGCCGCTATTGATGACAATCATGACAATTCCATCTCAGAAAGTAAGTTGCTCTTTATAGGCTTTTTTTAACAACCCTAACTTTGCACATTCTTTTCAGGAGAAGCTTCAGATCGTGGTTATATCGAGAAAGAGGACACGTACAACGTAAATGAAAGTAAGTTGTTTTTAAAATTTGCAATGAGACAATATTTAAATTAATCCAAAATTTTTCAGCTCTAGTACCATCTAACCAGTGTAAAACTGGGATAAGTGAAAATTGGGATGAAGATGACGATGACTTATTTGCCTCCATAATCTTAGATCAAAACGAGAAGATAAATAACTCTTCCAATGGAAATAAGCAAATAATCCAAAATATGGCATTGATATTCCTCACACTTTTTTGATGCGAACTTTTTTATTTATTTTTTTATTTCTGCAGGTTTTCAAACAGCGAATGGTAAAAAAATCTCCATATCAGAAGAGAGCAAAATATCCATACAAAATATTCTAAGAGAATTTCAAGATGATTTGCAGGAAACGGATTATGAAACTGAATTAAAAGATATAAAAGCTCGGATATCGAATAAAAGTATGGAATCCAAGTTTAGAACAACCGCAACCAGAAAAAGACTAATGGCTCTTAATGATGAATCCAGCCAAACTGGACATTCGACTTTAAATGTCCCAAAATTTCGTAAAAAGCACTTGTTGTCATTAAATCCAAAATTTAATTTTAAATAACCCATCGCCTAGTTGGAGCTTATAGCAACAAACACTTTTTCAACCGCTTTGATTTGTCATTGGGAAAACCAAACTGGCCTTTACTGTTGCTGTATATTAATTTATATAATTTATATTTAAATATAAATAGCTTTATTTATTATTATTATTATTATTATTTTAATTTTAGACTAATGAATTTATATGATAGCTTTATTATGTACTTAAAATAGCTTTATTAATATATATAGAAATATATACATATACAAAAGAAATTGTTATTCTTTTTAATAGTTTTAATGGTTTCCTGATTGCTTCCGATTCTTCTTCCTTGACTTGGTCGCTTTTGCTCTTCTACCATCTCCTCTAGATGTTTAGATTGTTTAACGTTTTGGAAAATACGCGGACTTTACTAGTTATCCAATTGGCAAGAGTCTCCACTTCTCTCAATGTCGTGCCAGTGCATGCATAATATCTATGGAGAGAGGTGAGTTAAAATGTATAACTAGTACACATATATTCGTACAATGTTTGCTGACTAGCCATTCAGAGACTTTAAATGATCGTAATCCTATTTTCTTAGTCATAGATTCTCAATGTCATACATGCTTGAAAGTGTGAAGATTTTTACCTAATTGAATGTGTCAAAGGTTAATATCGAACATTTAAAATTTCTTGTATTTTACAAGTTAGCTTAGAATTAAACCGTCATAATTTTTAAAAAACGCCTTCGCTAAATTCCCTGTTGAAAGGCAAAGCACAGAGTCGCTTATAATATATATAAATGGTTAAAAGCCCAACTTAACAACTTAAATGTTAACGCCAATTAGCTATGTTAAACGAACAACTTAACAGACCAGAAGTGTCCAACTCTGTAAAATAACGGACCAACATTAAGATTAACATTATCTAACGAACCAACTCTGTAAGATAACATTATCTAACGGACCAACTTAACAAAAGTCGTCGGCAAATCTTTCTAGTAGGCTTTTCGCATTGCTCTGTTTTCGATCTTACTTCGTCTTTTTTATGATTATTGACGCATATGACAATCGAAAAAAGAATGTTGTCCTGTCAGTACATATCGCTGAATTATAGCGTAAACAAAAGCAAAATCAGCTGAGACCTTTCGAAGGAATGCAAAATTTCAATGTTATTCGGGTTTGTTAATTTTACCGACATAAAACATTTTCATTTTTCGTGTTGTTCGACGTAATTAATTTGTTCTACTCATTAGCCAAAAATCGGATTGCTTTGTCATACGGAACTTGAGAAAAAAACGAATTTAAGTTATTTTAAAAAATGGAAGAACTTTTAAACGAAATTGTACCTCAGGAAGAACTCGAGGTACTAAATCCAACCTGCGCCAAATTATGTTTAGATAACAAATTTATTGCTTTTACAGAAATTCGAGAAAAAATATGCTCATGAATTGGAACTAGATGGAGAAGTGACTATAGAAACTAAATTCGAATACGCAATGTGTTTAGTACGTAGCAGATATACAAATGATATTCGTAAAGTAAGCAAAAAATAAAGGAAAGTGCACTACTGAATGCCTCCTGTAATGTTGTGAAATAAGGCAAAACTCATTTGCGAAAAAAGGAAGAAAAATGAAGGCATTTTTAAGCAAAGATCTTACAGGCGTGTCAAGCATTAAGTCGGTCACTTTCCTGTGTTTGTTTTCAAAATAAATGTAAAAGACCACAGTTCACCAAACTTTAGCACAGCAATGGTTTGATTAGTCATTTATTTATGCCGACACAGAAATATTTCACAACTATTCAATAGATATTGAAATTGCTCGATAACATCGTAATTTCAAAGATAACAGAGGCATTTGAAATTCCATAATTTGACGTTGTGATATTTATTTATTTTCAGGGTATTATGATTTTGGAAGATCTCTCCCGAATACATGCGGAGGGCAGACGTGACTACATATACTATTTGGCATTTGGCAATGCTCGAATAAAAAACTACTCTGAAGGCCTCAAATACTGCAGAGCTTTTCTAGAAATAGAATCAAATGAGCAAGTACGCTCTCTGGAGGTAATTATACTTAAATAGATATATATATGTATAGCTGAACATTTTTTTTTTTCTCAGGAGTACATAAAAAAGCAGAACGATAAAGAAATGGCAAAAGGAATGGCTGTGGCCGGAGGAGCAGCTTTAGTGTTGGGCGGTATTCTCGGTCTGGGTATAGCGTTAGCTAAAAAGTAATGATGCGTTTCAAATTTCATGCCTTTTAAAGGTTAAAATTCTGTAAATATATTGAGTTTTGTTTATTGTAATTTCCGTAATAACATATCACTTAAAAACATTTGAAAAACCATTTGAGATGTTTTTAATTTTTTGGAAAATGCTCACACTAAGTCTTCTTCTTTATGAACTTTTTTTTTTAATTTTCTTAATATTTGTATTTTATTCTCTTGTAGTAGGCAGAAGCGTGAAAAATAAATGCAGGATTTTGCACAACAGACAATTACAATCGAGTAACTAAAAGTCTTCATAAAATTAATATTATAATATTATTACTTAAAAAACAGAGAAAAGTTACATGAAAATCGTTGCAATCGTTTGCGTTTTGAAAGAAATTGTGATATTGAAAAGAAGAAATGTGCATGCGTAGCATTATTAAAAGTAAGCATAACATAATTTTATTTCAAATTAAGCAAATTTTAGTATTTAGTTACATCAAAAATACAATTTTTTAAAGCTGCTATAATCCATATTCGTTTACTTATGTCTCTATCTACTCTGTGTTAAACTAAGCAGTTGTTTGTTCTAAACATATAATAAAAAAAAAGCTGTTTCACAAACATGAGAAGTCTCATCGTAATTTCCATAAATCCCCGCGGTGTTCATTGACTACAGTTTTTTTATTGAAACAATATCAACAGGTGTTTGAAACATATCACCAACGATTTATATTTTTAACAAATTCATTTTTCACATCAAACTTAGAACAAATTATTATCAAATAAATGCATTCGATTACTTCGAAATATAATTAGCCTATATGTTTTTGATAACGTTTTCAATAATTAATCACTTCTTTAATCGCGGATAAACAGCGATATTTGTTGGGCAAGTAGAACGGCTCAAAAACATGAGGGAATGGAGTATCCCAGCCGGTGACACGTTTGACAGGCGCTTCTAAATATAGAAAACAATGTTCTTGGATACTGGCGGAGATTTCAGAACCAAATCCTTGGGTTAAAGGAGCTTCATGTGAAACAATGACCCGACCAGTTTTCTTGACAGACTATGAAAACGTTATTTGAATTTCTCCAAACTTTAATGTTACCTACCTTGCAGATTGCGTCTTTGTCCCAAGGCAAAATGGACACCAGATCAATGACTTCACAGTCCACATTCAGATCTTTTTTAGCTAGCTCTGCCACCTTAATTAAAAGAATTAAAATTAAAGTTTTTAAAAGTGATTGAAATGGGTTGCATTTTCGATGATCGATAGGTCTTTTGCATTTACCTCCAGTAATACATGTACTTGGGTACCCCACCCGATTAAAGTTACATCTTTTCCTTTACGCAACACGTCTGCCTTTCCAATTTCCGACACGTAAGCATCTGCGGGCACTTCTTCTACTGCTGCGCGGTATAAAACTTTTGGTTCAAAAACAAGGCAAGGGTTGGGGTCTCTAATACATGCCAATAAGAGCCCTTTAGCCTTAACAGGACCACGTGGAACCACTACCTTTGAACGAACATTATACCAATGGATATGATACGAAGCGATTCATAAGATATGAAGCGAAAAAATTGGTACAAAAATGAAGAAAATCATAATAAACTTGCAACTCTGTTGTTGTAATAAACGGAGAATTAAAGGTTGAGAAATACCTTTAAGCCGGGTGTATGAGCAAAATAAGCCTCAGGACTTTGACTGTGATACAAGGCACCATGGCCCACAGCTCCGCAAGGGGCTCTAATAGTCAAAGAACCGCAGTCGAAAATTCCTCCACTACGATAGCGAAACTTTGCAGCTTCATTTATAATCTGGTCAAAGGCCGGAAATATATAATCAGCGAATTGAATTTCCGCAATAGCTGTTGCTCCTGCATTAGCGACTCCGATCGCGAACCCAGCTATACCTTGCTCGCAAAGAGGGGTATTAAATACCCGATCTTTACCATACTTGTCCCTCAGATTAATGGAGCAACGAAAAACCCCACCGAAGCCTACATCTTCGCCAAATAGTAATGCTGTCGCATCTTCCCCCAATGCAATGTCCATGGCGTTATTGATGGCTTGAAACATATTCATTTTTTGCTTATTTTGAGCTGGCGTTGGAGGGTCAGGATAATAAGTAAAGTGCGATGTTCTGATCACCGACTTATTCGTTTTCACAAAACTAAATAAATACCGCGAATGTCTGTTCATTATATATTTGATTCTTTTTTAACAATCAATTTAAATAAATAATAAAATATAACAAGAAAACAAGTAAAGGAAACTAACGTCGTGGTATCGCAAGAGATCGGGAGATTTATATAATAAATTACAGCTACGCATTGAAAGTCTTGCCATCTTAAAGCACTGAACTTAATGAATGCATTTGCATCGTTGATCATTTACTCAAATGTCAAAATATGATTTGATTGCACATGTTCCCAAGTAATCGATATATTGAATTGCTGGAGTAAAAACGTAAAAAAAAATATAAGTTTCACATCATACGCGATGCAAAGGCATTCTTTGTATTGTTTCAATAATTCTTTACATGCTCATAATAGAAATTGAGCACGTAAATTTTTTTGAAATGAAACGAAAAGTTTTTTAATTGGCTCACTTGTAAAAAAAATAATTCATTCAATTCTCAAGTGTTGTAGACAGTAAGAATTTTATAAGGCATTGTCGTAATTGACTAATTAAATGCTTCTTTGAGTAAGCGTACAATTATAGAGGATATTAACATCGACTTCTAGTTATTAGATCATTAGTTGTGTAAATCTACGATTATACTTGGAAAAACTCATCAAATATATAAGCCCTAGAGAACGAACTTTTTATCTAGTTCGGGACAACTGCGAGACAAAACAAAGTATGACAGTTCGGACTTAACGAGTAAAACTTATTCCATTAAACAAACATGCCTTCAAGAACCAGCAAAAAGGAGCAATTCGAAAAATTTTTATGTCAATAATTTATAAGTGTCATTGTTTAGAAATCATCTTCTCAGATGAGACTTTTCAATCCCAATGTTCAGAAAGTAAGTGAAACAAAATTACGGTTTATGAGGAAAAGCCAATATACAAATAAATTATCCACGTTTCATTCCATTAAGGTGACAGGTTGAGGTGATTTTGGGTTAACGACACCCTCTTTCTTTCTTTAAGAATCAAAGTAAAGATTCCGTTACCGTGAATGAACGTTGATGTTAACCATGATGGCCTGAACTCTAAAAAAACACAGTTTTAAAATTAAATTCTCCTCATCCCGTATTCGTTATGACCATAATATAAAAGTAATTCTCGTTAGGAATGTGTTCGGTACGCTTATGGGTGGCAAGTAAGAAACCACGTATCTACAAGAAAATGTTGCTAAAAATGAAGACATATCATGTTGTGGCTTGTGCTTTCCTCGCTTCCTTATCTAACGTTGTGCCAACTTTTCTACTTCGATTCGAAAGTCATTTCAGAATGTAACGAGTCTTCTTGGGCGGGATATGCTCAGGGCTCCCCAGGCCTCCTTCCAAGATATTTATATTAAAAATAACGTGGACCTGCAGATTTTGTTCTTATTTTTTGGATTTATAATAATTCGAAGAGCAATTTTTAATGGTAGTGGGAGAAAAACCAGCATGGTGACCCGACTCTTGTTTAACGCTTTCAATACTTTCTGTTCGTTCCGAAAGATTATTTTTTCACGTTTTAACCGTACCGTGAGATTCTGCAAAAGAAAGGAATCCATCGCGGGTGTTATAGCAGCCAAGCTCGGTCTATAGGACCACTCGTCCGTCCGTAACCGTTTCACGTCGCAAGAGAGAGTGTGCCGCTGTCATTCAGGGACGATGACTAAGCTAGGGCAGCCATCCCCTATCCGTAAAAGTTAGCAGTCCCTATCAGTCATTCAGGGATGACGATTAAGCTAAGCCAGCCATCCCCTATCCGTAAAAGTCAACTAGTTATGTAGTCCGTGATCGCTTACCTCTGGCTGCTATAACATAACTGAAGGAGAGAGCGTGATGGGACGCGCTCTTTTACAGTCGCGATCACCACCGCTATCCCGTTACATAGATGCTTTGACTTGCATATGTGTTACAATGATATTCTTATGTATCTCTTATTACTAATACTATCTTAGGTTCTAACTTGTGTGATCGAACACGTATAAACGTATAAACGTAAGATCTGGTTGTACTTAAATGTATATTTCTTACGTATATGTTGTTGTTAGACATATTTATGTAATCGCGAATGGATCGTTACATGTGATTTCGAGACTTAGAAAAGAATGAGCAAAAGTTACATACAAAATGTGTTACATGCGTTTTATTTATATTTATTAGCTCTTTTTATTTTTTCCCTTTTGTTTTCTTTATATTCCTTTTTTTTCTATATACATTTGTTCTTTCTATTTTTCTCTTTTTTTTTTATATATGAACCTCGATTCAGTCAGGAAGCAAAACGCTTCCTTGGAAGAAAATAAAATATTTGAGGGTTTAAAATAACACACAGACGCTTGCCAGGTCTTAATGGCATTGCATTACACATTGTCAAATCGTGTGCTGGTAAACTCATTACATTACTTTACAAGAACTCTGTACCTATCTCAGAAAATTCATATTTTCCGTTGTGTTAGAAAATTTCATTATTCCATAAACACTGTGGGCGAAGTATTGAAATCAATTAGGAATATGTGTCACAAATTGGACAATATTGACTGTCAACCACGTATGTTTTAATTCAGTCCTTCCGGAATACATGATTATATGGGATAGAAAGTAATGTTTCAAGAACTATATACTTCTGTAGACAAAGGATACGTTGTGTCAAAAACTATTACCTAAGTATGACTTATTAGCTCTATACCATATGTCATATGTACAATATGAATTGAACGCGGTAATAATAAGTACAAAAAATAGGATTACCTGTGTGTCAGATGTAATCAATATAAAAGCGAATGCCGAAAAAGTAATAAAAATGCGATATATATATGCGATAATTCAGTGCGTTAATAATATACAATGTGTAAAGTAAGATGTTATAAAATAAAAGAAAATTAAGGTGAACTCGCCAATTTCGCAAAAATTAAAAACAGGTTAACTATATATTTAATTATCGGGAGGAAGCAAGACCTTTAGGGTCTTCGGATTCTTTCACTGTGTGTTAGAAAGTAACATTTGTCCAAATTTACACTTGTCTAATTGGATGAGCATAAAGCTCAACTTAACATTAACAATAACCAATGTGAAGTGGCTACAAAATATGATTATTTGGAGTCCGCCAATTTTATCGTCACTTTTGAAAACGGAACAGGACGTTTAAGAACCTAGCGCTAGAATGTTAAAACGTTATTCCACAATGTTATTCGCTGAGATTACATGCGAAAGCAGGAAGTGAAATCAGTTGTGTCGAAACTGCGAAATGTTCGGACGTGGTGAAAGTTCTCGCCACAGAAAGCCGAAATATGGCATTTGAACTGAGATACATTTGACCCTTAATCGTCCTGATAGCTCTATTGTAAGTTGTAAAATTTGCGAGCAAAATCATACTTCCATAAACAGCGCATGTCCAAATCTTTATAAATAATAAACATAAATAATAGAAATTCTGACGAAAGAGCAAAATCCCAAAATTACTCTTCATCAAGTCCGTTGCCGGTCGAACAAAACAACTTTAAGTTGCCTCTAAGCCCGTATCGCTGAGTTGTTGTACGATCTAGTAACAACAATTCGATTCATTTTGACACTGCAATGAACGTGCAATACAAGCTGTCATTCGCCTCGGTGCTTAGGATAATATGATCTTTTCACAGAAAATGAAATTACTCAATTAGCTTTTGATGTTGTCAACAACATCAATTGCATATAAAATTAGCAAGAAAAATGTGCGACTATAACACAGTTAGCTACTAATTATTTATGTTCAATTGTTAAATAATGGATATATCAATGCTCAAAATCATTTTTTGGAACTATCGCAGAGTTCGCAATACGTCCGTCGAGGTTTGATTCCTTAGTCAACTATAGTATTGATATATGCCTACTTTTTGAAACTATCTCGAAATATTCCGACGGTCTTTTTCATCCCACCAATGTTTAAGCTTCCCGGGTGTGCAAGAAAATTTGTATTTATACATGTCTCCACGTATTTAAATTGATGAATTGGGATTTAAATTTTGATTAACGCTAAAGGTGAAATATTGAGCTTAGTGGAGTTTCATAAGATCAGTCAAACAGAAGAAGAAAAAAGCACTAAACATAAGCACAGAAAATGTTTCCATTGATGAACAACAAATTAATAATTTTGTGCAATATTTCATGTGCCGGCTAGCTATCAACATCGGGTAAATACGATTTGAATATATTACACCACGGATTATTTTCTATACTATATGAAAAAAAAAAAAAATTCCATGAAGGCTTACAAAAACATAAACATATGATA